ATATCTCTATAAGATTGCAATTGCAAGTTACCACTTTTTACAGTATATGATACATATTTAATGTACGTTATTGCATATAGTGTTATATCTGTTCACACCAAAGCCTACTGAGGATAGTACACATACTTGAATAAATGCAGAAACTGTTGTTTCTATGGTAATGGATAAAAAAAAAAACTCTTCTAGACAAACATGTAACCATCTCTCTTCCTGTTTAGTGGCTCTTTGTGAACTCTCTGCCCTTGTGTGTTTTCACCGATTATTTTGCATTATGGCAATGAGAATTGGGGGAAATGTTCATAAAAATAGTAGGAATGTTAAAACAAATCTTAAGTAACAAGGCTTGGGAAATACTGTAGTGCAAAAAAATGAACTATTTCTATAATATGTTTGGTTGTTTTTTTGTCCTTTTTGAAGCTTGACGCTTCAATTGCCACTCACTGTAATTGCATGGAAAAGAGTGACCATATCTTAAAAATACCTCTTTTTGTTTTACACAGATGAAAGCAAAGCAGGTTTGGATTTGTAAGACGTTTAGCATGTGGAGGCTGATAAAGCCTAGTCTAAAGGGCTCTTGAGTCAAGAGCACAGCCTCTATTCACTAACAGGGCCATCATTACACGAGTGTGCAGATTCTTACAAGACCAAAAACGCAGAGTGAAAAGACATAACAATAAATGGAAAACTGTGCAATTCCAATTAATCCAACTACAACAAAATCAGCTTCTTTAGATAGCAAAGGATCTATCTAGCTATAGCTACCTAGTAGTGATGACTTTTCTTGAACATCTTGTTCATTTTGAATCTTTAATATTAACTAATTATCTCAGAGAGTGATTCATTCATTTCGTGTTGACCGTGCATACGCAGCATCCAATAGGTTCTGCACAGGAAACAGAAACGATTAGCTCACCTCCCGAGTTCGTTCTTTTGTGACAGCTGTAATAGATACAGAAATTATTTAATAATTCCCAACATTCCTTACAAACAAGTGTGTAGCTGGTATTTTAGTTTATATTTATTTATTTACTTGAGTGATTAATAGGTGCAGATCCATACACTGTAAAAAAAATTTGCCAGGAATTTACAGGATTAAAGAGTATTATTTTTACAATAAATTACTGTAGTCAGAAATTGTCTGTGAAATCAATGCATGCTGGGTCATTTTCTTACAAATGACTGTGAATGGACAGCAGAATGATGCTAACATCACAGTAACTTACTGCTTTTGTTTTACTGTGAATTCACATTATAAAGTTGTCTTTAACTGTGCCACTGTGAGAAATTTACTTGTTTACTACCGTAATTACTGTAGTATGTAGTAGCCTATTTGTTTGGGATCTTGGACCTTGTATATTCATATTCAAATGTCTGAGCTGGTCATGTCATAAGTGTGACAAATTAAAACATTTGTCAAAATGATGACAAGCTAGAATATGAAATAAGCTAATAGTCAAATTATTTGTAGCATGAACATGATTTTATTTGAAAGATGTGACATCAACACTTGACATACAAAACACTAACAGTCAACACATAAAAACAACATTTACAACATAAACCAACATTACAAATTAAACAAACAGCATAAACGGCTAAAAGTTAACCAAAAACAAGTTCGACAGCACAAATAAAACCAACAAATATTATAAATCTCTTCATGATCATGATCTATTCGTGCTGCATTGCATGCTGGGAACGTCCATAGCACTTATGCACTGTCCACTCTAAGAAATGCTGGGTTATTTTTTTTTAACCCAGATGCTGGGTTCATTTTATTTGGTTATTTTAACGCTGGGTTATTTTTTTCTACCTAACCGCTGGGTTGAGCTCGTCTCCGGTGAAACTTCTCAAAACTTCTGCTGCAGCGCGGGCTTTTTAAAGTCGGCATGGAACGGAAGTTGCGATTGTCTTTTCTTCTCTACTGTGACGTATATCCGAGTGAAACGGCATCTGAAATGAGAGGGCGGGACTTGATTTTGTCCTTCGGGAATTGATTGGATCGTTGGAAATACACTTAAATTAAAATGCTACTTCTAAATGTGTCTTTTTTATTTCTAAAATGCTTGTTAGACGAGTTTAAATGTATGTAATATTGTAAACTATGCTGTATTCACCCAAATAAATTCAATTTGTCTTGTATTTTGTCCATGGGTGTTCTTGCTTAATAATAAATGTTCATCTTTTGATTATTGCTGTTGCCTCTACTAATTCTGTGTGTGATTTTTATTTTCCAGTCCATTTTAAGCCAGCAATATAATAATTTTTAAACAATAAATTAAACAACCCGGCATGTTTGGTAAAAACGTTTAACCCAACCAGCTGGGTCAAAATAACCCATGTGTTCTGTCCAATATTTATCCAGCGTTGGGTTGCCAAATAACCCAAGTTGGGTTGTTTTTAACACAACATTTTTTAGAGTGTAGAAACACAGTATAATGCTGTTTGTTTACAAGAAATTTCTGAGAGTGCAGTTAGATACAGAAGAAGTCCTACTGTGAAAGTAATGCAATTATTAGCCTGGAATATACTGTAATTTCTCACTAAAAATGTTTAAGTGTACTAAGACGGAACAGGCAGTGTACAAAGTGAAGTGTCAGTGTGCCATTGTATATGCTTGTGTTTGTGTTTCATTAGTGATGAGCATATTTAGACAGATTAAACTCCTACAGTCATTCACAATGAACAAATAAAACCAATCAAAAATAAACAGCAACAGCAACAAAATTCATATTGCACCATTCATAGGCTGTATGCTTTAACGCAGTGTGAATTGTTAATGCCCCCACAATCCCATAATGTTGAAGAGGTTCATTCAAAGGTCTTTAATTACTGTCCCTCTATTTATAGAATGTTAGAGCATGTGCATGTGTCTGGTTCCCATTCACTCCCATTCTCCCATTTTACAGTTAAAGTCGGCATGAAACGGAAGTTGTCTTTTCTTCTCTACTGTGACGTATATCCGATTGAAACGGCATCTGAAATGAGAGGGCAGGACTTTATTTCGTCCTTCGGGAATTGATTGGATTTGATTAAACATTAGGAGGGCACATGAATTTAAAAAAAATTATGAAGTGCACGGATAAATTATTTATAATAAACACTACAGTATTCCATTCAAAAAATAAGAATTTTCTATTTTGATTTCATGGTGACTTTAAAAGAAAAGAAAAAGAATGAAAAAAACATGTCATGTGAAAGCATGGGAAAGGGAGAGAAATAAAGAGGCGATTAAATGAATCCTCTGAGATGGATTAGACATTTCTCTGTCTGTTTACCCCTTAACTCTTTTTTTCTTCATCTCACCTTCTTACATTCTCTCAGTTTTTCTTTCTAAGCCTTCTGAAGGATCAAAGTCTGTTTTTCACACTTTGTCTGTAGGATTTCAGGCAGATTAATGCCTCCGTCTAAAACTTCTCTTTACACACACACACACAATTTCCTAACAGTGCAAACAGAAGATTCATTTCACTTTCTTTGTTCCTTTATTTTCTATGTCAACACTTGGTCCTTCAACCATTTCTGACTGTATCTGTTCCTCATTTTGATCATAATTTGTCTGCTCCTCGTTTATTTTCTCATTCTAAGGCACTACATCGCTTCTCAGGACAGCAAAGAATAACGAGCAGCTCTCGCTGATATACAGCGATCTTCATCAGCACCACTAGCTGTTTAGAAAACGTCTGCCAAACAAGAAATTGTCAAAAAAAGAAAGAAAGAAGAAGCAGCAAAAGATAAAGAAAAGATGGAAAAACTAACTCGTACCGTACTACCGAGAGAGAGAGAGAGAGAGAGAGAGAGAGAGATTAAGCGTGTGTGTTGAGTCTGGGCGTCTCTTCTAATAACGAATCTGTAAGTTTAACTTCTTTAACAGCGATGTTTCCAGCTCCACACTGAGAAATGACATACCTTTTCAGTTGCGATTCAGTTTTGTTGACAAAGTCGCGGAGGAGCATCAGTTGTGATACAGAGCTCCGGAGGCTGAAGTCACGCACTCTAAACTCTTTGGCAGGCAATCAGGAGAGCGCTAGAGCACTGGTATCGACAGTTGTACAACAATAATTTAAAACCAGACTATTTAGACCTTGCAAACCTTACTATTTCAACATGGTGGACAGCTGCTGTGCGCCAGGATGCCAGAACAGGCAGGGGAAAGCTAGGGTTGCCAACCGTCCCGTAT